CAACTGGTCAACACAGCCTTCATGTCATTTTCTCAGTTATTGCTTTAAAACATTCACATTCTACTCTTAGAAAGATTCACCTGTACCCCTATAAGGTAGACCTCAGATGGACTGGATTCTTGACTGGTTTTGGCCACAAGAATATGGCAGAAGTTTTCCAGTTTCTAGCTTAAGCCTTAAGAGGTGTCACATACTTCTGTTCTTTCTCAGGATCCCACTACCATGAGCTCAGGCTCTAACTAACCTGCTTGAGAGTGAGAGACCATGTAGTTCTGGCTAAGGCCATTCTAGACCTGTCTATAGCCAGCTGACCTCCTAACACAGGAGGGAGCCCAGCCAAGATCTTGCCATTAACCCAACCCTCAGCTGATGAGAGATGCACAGGGGAGCTCAGCTGAGACCAGAAAATCTCCCAGTAGAATCATACCCTTATAATCACTCACACAGCTCATTGTTTTAAGTTACTAAGGTTTTGGAGGAGTGGTTTGTTTTGCAGCAGTTGCCGATTGATACTATGTAAATCTCTGAACTTCTTGGAGTATCAGAGAAAGTGATTTGAGAAATGAATCAAAAAGACTTTCCCTGCCTGCCTTGGGGAGTACTTCAAGATGTTATGCAAATGTAAATTTCAGAATATTTATTGAGTGCCCATTTTATACCAAGCACTGAGATAGACAGGTTGATTCTATTGTAGGGCAACATTAATACCTCCTGTTCCCAGCCACAGCCCAGTCACCAGTAAGTCAGAGTGGACACTGCTGTTTGAAGAGGGAAAGGACTGTAAGCTCATCCAAAATGCCTAAAGCAGTGGACCAGCTATCTTACCTTCTAATTTATCCACAGATTTATGTATAAACCATCTCTCTTACTCATTTCTCCTATTATGCTAATATATGAGCTTTCCCTCCCCTTTTAAGCTGATAAGTTCTAGGGACGGACAAGAGAATCAGTTCATCCCATCAGTGAACGCTTGCTCAGGACAAGGCACAGTCCACTCTGTGAGAGCTGTCACATCCTAGCAAGGGAGGCAGAAATGAAAATAGGTCCTTGTAGCATTCAGAAATACAGTGTGGCCTTTTCCCTTGGGTCCCACGTGTAATTCATTAGCCAGTCCCATGGCTTTACCTCCAAAGAAATCCTGAATCTATCCATTTCTCCCCAGGTCACTGCTATGTTCTCAATCCAAACCCTTGTCACTCTCACCACAGCCTTCCAACTGGTCTCTATACAGTGGATGGAATATTCTTATAAAAATCAGATCATATCCTTCTCTGGAATGCTCCAATGGGTTCTTGTTAAACTGAGATGAAAACCTAAACTTTTCATCACAGCCTGTAAGGCCGTGTAAGCCCTTTCCTGGCTTGTTGATTTTTCTCTCTTCCCTCTCTCATCCTCTCTCGCTCTGCTGAAGCCACACACATGGCTTCACGCCTCCGGCATTTCCCATTTGTTCTGACTTTGGCATCTATTCACCTATTGTTTTCTGAAATACTCCACCTCCCTCCTCTACATCTTTATGTGAATGGTTCTCTCTCACCATTCAGGCATTGAGCCCAGGGCTGCTTCCCAAAGCCACTCTTCCCTCACCACTCTCGCTAAAGTGGTAAAAGCAGCTCAAGTCTTCTCCATCCTCTACACATCACCTTGTTTCATATCCCCATCCCCACACTCCGGGCATGCGCTTGCTAACTGGTTTGTTATTCTTATCCCATTGTAACACACATCATCATCATCTCTCACTCTCTGAAGACTTGTCTGTTTTGTTCATCTCAAATGTATATAATAATATTTCTGGTGGTGCCTTATACTCAATAAATATTTGTTGAAAAAAAAAAGAATGAACACAGAGGCTAAGGAAGTACCAAGAAGAAGTAACTCAAGAAAACAAAGATAGATATTTTTCTTTTTCCCCAATTCTACCTTTGTTACTTCTCATTACCTTGCTTCACAGATGGAAATCATAGTCTCAGGCCTCGTTAGACACTTGGAGTCTGCTGTGGGGTGTGGGTGGGTAGTTAATTAATCTGTATTTACTTGCGGATTGCCTATACCTGATACGGGAAAATCATGGTTTTATGTTCCACATTTCAGTTGTTTTAGTTGTAGAGATGTTTATTTTTCTTAAAACATTTGCAATAGAAAGAAAATATTGGCACCTTTGGAGGTAAATATGTCATTGGCTTCAAGAGTCAACCAACAATTGGGCACATGCAGAGAGCGAGGTCCTCCTGATTGTCAAGTTCCGCTAGGAGAAATTCAGCAAGTTAGTGCATAGTGTGCTGCGTGGTGACACTGAACATCTGGTGGACCAGGTGAGGAAGAATGCAGTTACAGTTTTATTCTTTTTAGCATCGTGTTAAATTGGCCATGAAGCCAGGGATGGTGCAATTGAATTATAAGAGGTCTGAAGGATTAAATAAAAATCCAGAAGACAGTTAAGGTGTTTGGCTCAAGGTGGGCTAGAGTCTAGTAGGAGGTGAAACATGTTTATAGAACAGTGAGTGGAAAATATATCTTCTTCACTAATAATTCACCTCATTAAATACTGGGAGATGGGGTCATGGGGTTTGCCCTTCTTGGAAAGGTGACTTCCTTTGGAAAACAGGGTATTTCCTTCTGAAGGGTAGTGGCTGATTCCCTTAAATATTGGTGTGTTGCTGGATGGAACGTTTTATTTTCTTTTCTTGTTTTCTGGATTGTGGCTTTTCTGTCTGTCCTTTCTCACATTATCCTTTATGTCCAACCGTTGGACAGGATAAATTAAATTGTAGCTTGTTTCAGAGCCATGGCCAACGTGTCCGTCAGGAGTGACGGGCTCAGCTGGCCAACTGAAAGGTGGCAGAAAAGCCATTGCCTTAATCACCTTTTTATCAAGCCCCTGTTTCCTGCTGGCTCGGTGAGAAGCCAGTAGATTGCCACAGACTGGGAGGCTTCAACAACTGATATTACTTTTCTCGCAGTTCTAGAGGCTGGATGCCTAAGATCAAGGTGCCAGCAGGGTTGGTTCGTAGGCAGCTGCCTTTGTTGTGTGGCCTCTCCATGTGCCTGTCATGTCTTTTCACAGGGACACCAGTCAGGTGGAATCTGAGCCCAGCCTCACGACTTCATTTAACTTTAATTACTTTTGTAAATGCCCTACCTTCAAGGAAAGCCAGGTTAGGGGGCTAGGGATTCAACGTATGAATTTTTGTGGGTGACTAGGCACAATTTAATCCCTAACAACTATCAGACTCTTGAAATGTGGCTGGCCCACATTGATACGTATGTGCTCTAAGTGTGAAATGTACCCCAGATCTTTCACCATTCATTTTTTCTCATCATTTCATCACTTGTCACCATCCATGAGGAACAGAATGCAAAGCATCTCATTAATACCTTTTAAAATATTGATTACATGTCGAGGGATGATCCCTTGATATATTGAGTTAAATAAAATATATTAGTTAAAATACTTCCACCTGTTTCTTTTCACTGTTAGCAGTGTGGATACATCAAAAACTAAAACTAAAATTACTTTTGTGGCTTGCATTAGGTTTCTGCTACAGAGTGTTTGTCCAGAAACCCTCTGACGTTTAGCGGGAAGGTCGCCCTCTGGGACCTTCTGTTGGCTGCCATCCTGGGCCATTTGACTCCTTTCCTTCTCCTGGCTTTCTGAGCCTCCTCTTGGGCTCAGTCGGCCGTTTCATCAAGTGGTGCTGGGGTGTGGAGCGGAGATTCGGGTGGCCGTGGGGCAGAGCGGCTTTCGGGTATGGAACTGAAGGGAGGGAGGGCCTCGCTCTGCCTCTCGCAGTGGTGGCCGAGTGGGAGATCTTCCCCGCTGTAGGGTACTCATTTCAGCACAGGTCTTGTGTGCTTGTGCTACAAGAGTCTATCTCTTACTCTGCTTTCAGTTGTTTTGACAAAAGTCCAGTTTGGGAATGTTGCAGGTCCCAGGGAGGAGTTAAGGAGTGAGGGGAAAAAACCCAGACACAAGTAACACAGGGACCTGGACCTCAGTTTGTTCTCCTCAGCAGAGGGGGAAGGAACGGGGCTGGGGGTCGGGGGAGAGGAACAGCACCTGAGTCGTGTTCAAGGCCAGGTAAGGCGCACCTTAGACGTGTTATTTCGTTTGGTTCTTTTAACCATCTCATATTATTCTCATTTTACAGATGGGGAAACAGAGACCTGGGGGATTTAACTAACTCCGTCAGTGTCACCTGCTGGAGAGTCACAGGGCCAGTGTGTGAGAATGAGTCTATCTCACTATCATAGTGTGGTCCTGGAGTAAAAAGGGAACATTTTCTGGAGCATGTGGGGACTCTCCTGAGGTGTATTTGGGTCCTGGGAGGAAAGTAGAGGAAATTCTAGGCTGGAGGCTGACATGGAAAACGTGTAGAGACAGGACCAGTGCAGGACCAGTCCAGCCAAGAAAGGGAGCCTGCCTTCTGCTTCTTATAAAGTTACCCTCCTGTAAGTCTTCTGCTCGATGTTCTGGGTTGGGGGACATTGGGACTCAGCAAGGTCCCATAGGCACCATCCCATGGTCTGCTCATCCCGTTGGGTTGTCTATGGGCCATTCCTTGCTGGGCTTACTCACCGGCTTCGTCTAAGGTCTTTTCTGAGGTTTATTACTTCCCTGTCCATATACTTGATGCTCTTCATCGGTTTGTCTGTTACCTAAGGAGAAGACAAGCAGTGACAGTAAGTGCGTTCTGATACACCTGTCACACATAGGAGCCTCGTGTGTTCATCTGAGATGTCCAGCCAGGTTTGGGGGGGTCCCGGACAGCACAAAGGCCATCTCAATACCAAAGAGAGGGCCATGCGACATGGTAGACATGGTAAGGGCTTTGGAGACAGGTGGACCCGAGCTCTGATTCTAGTTCTGCCTGGTGACCAGCTAGCTGTGTGATTGTGAACAAATTAATCTTTCTGGGCCTCGATTTTTTTCACTAGAATAGGAGAGTAATTCCTAGTCTGTTTTGAGGATTAAATTAACTTCCAAATTCCAAATTCCTCATTCATAGCAAGTAGTATAGCTTCCATTTATGAACTACTTGCTATGAATGAGGAATTTGGAAGTTAATTTAATTTAAAGTAAAAAAAAAAAGCATTAAAAATAATTATTGTTGGTTGAGCAGGATGGTTCATGTCTATAATCCCAGCACTCCAGGAGGCTGAGGCAAGGGGATCGCTTGAGCTCAGGAGTTTGGAACCATCCTAAGCAAGAGTGAGAACCTGTTTCTTCTAAAAATAGAAAAGCTAGCTGGGAATGTCAGGTGCCTGCAGTCCCAGCTACTCAGGAGGCTGAGGCAAGAGGATCGCTTGAGCCCAGGAGTTTGAGGCTGCTGTAACTGAGGATGACGCTTGTGCACTTTAGCTTGGAATAATAGCAACTCTGTTTCAAAAAGAATAAATAAATAAATTATGGCATTAGCAGCTGATTTGGAAGGCTGAATATGAACAATAAAAATATGGAAATTTATTATGTTTTCCCTGATCCTTTCCAAATAGCAGGATTTTACAAGTGAATTATGCAGATAATTGTTTGTGGGTTTCTCTTTTCCTTTCCTCTATTCATTTGCCTTAACTAGAGGTTGATACCAGTTCAACATAAGGAAGATAGTTAATGTAACAATATTTTAACACAAAAGACATTTTACTCAGCCCCTAATTTGGACAAACAACAATCAGAATATTATCCGGATGATCTTGTCTTGAAGTTAGCATTTGCATTTCAGAATTTTTTTTTTTTTTTTTTTGAAACAGAGTCTCACTATATCACCCTTGGTAGAGTGC